TGGTAAGGTGAAGTCTGATGGAACCGAATGTTACGGGTTCGGATCCTGCTCAGTACCCTTTCTTTTTTGCCTCCTGTCTTTCCGCTTTTTTGTTTTGTTTTGTTTTGTTTGCTTATTTGATTTGTTGTTAATTGTTGTTGTTGTTGTTTTTTAAATATACACCTTCAAGAGCAAAGATAGTATATTTATGGATAAACAATCTGAATTTCTATCGTTTCCTACAATTTAAATTCCTTTTTTACTGCAATATATTCTACAAAACTAAAACGATAGCCACCTGCAGTCATAGACTGCCTTTCATTATAAGAATTTGAAATTTTGTAGTTTACCTTAAGCCTGAGAAGAATGGAGAAAAAAAAAATCAGAGATTTTTTAAAACTGGGTTACCACTGATGGCATTCATAGAAGAATATATTAGCATAGGGAAGAGGTCCATTGCTATATAAAGAAATTGCAAACCTTTCGGTCCGAGAAAATTAGCTTATGACGCCAGCGTAGGAACGCCCGCTCATACACCCAATGCATGTAAGCCAAGGCCAAATGTCACGCTTACTACTTGCTTAACTTGACAATAATTCATCAGTTATATACGTCATCCATATGAAGATGAATTGAGTGCTGTCTATCCTCGGAGACCCTGGGGTAGATAGTGGCGGCAAGCGAAAGTTCAGCTGTCTGCCCCCGCGTCTCCGAGGATGAGAGTAGTCGAAATCGCCGAGATCTCGTTCACCGGCATGGAAATAAAACTACGCTTACAAGGCTCTTAGTGGTTTTAAGTTGTATGCGCAAGCCAAATCAAGGTCAATTGACAGCTGCAGGAGCTCCCGTTTGCGGGTATTTCACCTCTTAGCCACTGACTTTGGCAGAAATCGACCACGTTATTTTTGTTTTGCACGGCTCCTTCGCAGAAAGTTATCGCCTGTGTACTGGGAAACATCCATTCACTTTCTACCTCCCAACTCAAATAATACCTGACCAGCCCCACCATTCAGATGAGAGCACCTCCGCCATGTTGGTGTCCCAAGACAATTGTCCATTTTACAGTTACAGGTGCAAACGAGGCTTGAGTCGACCTTGTTTTGATTCAACCCTTCCTGCTTTATTATGTAATTCATGTTTGTATCAAAACAAGGTCAACCTCAGCCTCGCGTTCACTTAAAGGCTAGGACACTAAGTCTACAACTGTAAATGGCCTATTCAAGGGGCGGCCATATTGGGGTCCTAAACCTGTATTGTGAGTTGAATCCTTTTCTTATGCAAACTCGTCCTTTTACAGTAAATTTGCGTAGCTAAAGAACACGTAAGTAAATACGCTCTATTAATTACACCCTGCAGATCGTCTGTTCGTCGCATCCTGAGCAAAGAAGGTCGACTTTCACGGCTCGTTCCAGTTTAGCTGATGTTCGTTCAAAATCAACGTCAGAGAAAAAGAGCGAGGTGGGTTGACAACCTTTTTGGTAAGTTTGCATTTTTATAGTAAGTTATGTGATTTTCTAGCTAATACCCTTAGCACAAAATCGTATACGTAAGTGAGTGTCATTGTTACGCGGGTAATCTTTTAGAGGACAGGTAGCTTGCAAACCAAACTAAACGCAGGGCTGTCGGAACAGCAACAAGAAGATTTATTCCAAAAATGAACGTAGTTTCCACGAAGTAAAACTCCACAACAGCACGTAACTCGTTAAACTTACACGGCCTCCGCCAACCTGAATAAACACTGCCTTCGTCACACTTCGCTTGTGAAAACTAGTTAAAACTTAACTCGGACTAGCCTACTTATATACTTTCCCAATAAGATTCTAGACCTTTCCAAATAGTCTAGTTATAGAAAGATCACAAAATATACCGCTTTAGAAACGCTTACACAAGATCCTAAAATAAACAAACTATGAACTCTCGCGAAGCTTCTAGAAAGTCACGTTTAAAAGTCACGCAATACAGTTTTTCGTAACATAACCCCTTTTCAGAAGAAATTTCCTAAATTTCTCCTAAAAAAGAAAAATTGATAAATAAGAAGTAGTTCAATGTCAATAAACCTATTCGTCAGCTCGACTCAAGTAATCTGCTCCAGCGTTCTCTGAGCCTTTAATGGCTTCAACTCTGAATGTATAACTTTGTAAAAACATAGCTCAACGCATAAGACGTCCGTTCGCAAACTTAGCACTGTTCATATACTTAAGGGTTCATGATCCGTCTGCAGAACAAAGGGAACTCCGTGCGAATAAAGATGAAATCTCTTGATACCCCAGACTGCTGCTAGGCACTCTTTCTCAATCGTAGAATAGTTCCTTTCTGCACTTGACAATTTCTTGCTTGCGTAGCAAACGGGGAACAGCTTCTCATCATGCTTCTGCATTAATACGCCACCAATTCCAGTATTTGATGCATCCGTGGGCAAGAAGTACGTTTTCACTGGGTCCGGAAGACGAAGAATTGGCTCATTCGTCAAGTGAAACTTGATGGTCTGGTATGCCTTCTCTTGTGCTTGACCCCACTCGACCCTAGTTTGTTGACCCTTGCGTGTCAGGTCCGATAGGGGAGCTGCAATAGCTGCAAAGTTAGGGATAAAGTCTCTGTAATATCCGGCCAAACCAACAAACGAACGAACTTGCTTCTTTGTACCTGGCCTTGGCGCATTCTTAATCTTCTCGACATTCTGTTCGTGTAGACCAAGCACTCCTTGTTCTAGGCGGTGTCCCAAGAAAACAACGTTACTCGCCCCAAAAATACACTTAGTTGGTCTAATAGTCATCCCAGCTCTCAATAAACGTGCAAACAACTCTCGGAGGGCTTTAATATGCTCTTCCCAGGGGCGTGTATGAACTAATATATCGTCCCAGCAAAAATCGACGTTGTCTAAATCTTCAATTAATTTCTTCATAGCTCGCTTCAGGGTTGCTGCAGAGTTAATCATTCCAAACGGCATCTTTAAGAACTCGTAGGAACCGTCGGGTGTTACAAACGCAGTCTTCGGAATATCCTCCTCGGGTATGGTGATTTGCCAATAGCCCTTATCAAGATCAATCTTTGTGAAAAACTTATCACCACTCAGCTTCTGGAACAGGTGTTCCGCAGTCGGTATAGGTTCAGGGTCAATAACAGTCAGCTTATTTAGCTTATAACAGTCAGCTTATTTAGCTCCCGATAGTCAACGCAGACTCGATTGGTATTGTTTTTCTTCTTCACTACAACAACAGGCGACGCATAGGGTGAATCAGACTCCCTGATAACTCCCATTTTAATCATATCGGCGATATCTTTCTTCAATGACTCCCTCATGCTGTAAGGAACTGAATATGGTCTTGTCGGTCTTGACCGAACAGGTTCATGTGAGGTAAGTTTGATGTGATGCTGGGCGAGGTCTGTGGTACCTGGTGCCTCGGTAAATAGACTTGAAAACTGATTGGCTAGGTCCATAAACTCAGAACGCTGTTCGTCAGTGAGATTTGACCCGGTGGTAACATCTGCAACAGATTCGTTAGCATCATAGCCACCGATCTCTAGGAAATCAACATTATCTTCATCCTCCGCATCCTTTACCTCACATTCCTCAATTTCACAGTGCATATCTTCCCTAAAATGATCATCTGCTTTTACCACCGCTACTGCTCCTTCTGTGGTAGCTTCATCTCTTTCAAAATACTTCTTGAGAAGATTCGCGCGGTAAACTTTCTCTTTTCCTTTCACTTTAACTCTGTAGTCGTTAAGGCCTACTACTGAACTCACTTCAAAAGGACCCTTCCACTGCATCAGCAACTTATTGTGATCAGTTGTTAGTAGCACAAGAACTTTCTCACCAGGCTGAAATTTTCTTACTCTAGTCTTGCGATCATAATAGTGCTTTCCTTTATCTTGAGCCTTCTGTAACTGACTTTGAGCTAATTTAAGAGATTCCTCCAACTTCTCTCGCAGCTCAAAAACATACTGGTAGCTGTTTTTAACTTCCGGTTCCTCTACTTCTTTCGTCCAAAGCTCCATAAGAATGGTCATCGGACCTCTAACGGCTCTTCCATACAACAGCTCAAACGGTGAAAAACCAGTAGACTCTTGAGGAACCTCACGATAAGCAAACAGTTGATAAAGCGATGCCACTGTCTTGGTTGTTCACTACACAATCTCTTTAACATAAGCTTCATTGTTCCGTTGAACTTCTCGGTTAAACCATTACACACAGGGTGGTAGGGCGTGGTTGTGATCTGCTTGATACTCAGCAATCGTGTTACTTCCTTCATGCAATCAGAGACGAACTGTGTACCAAAGTCACTTAAAATCTCTTCAGGAACTCCCAATCGACTGAAGATAAGGTTCTAGAACTTTCCAAATAGTCCTAATTATAGAAAGATTCCAAAATATACCGCTTTAGAAACACTTACACAAGATCCTAAAATAAACAAACTATGAACTCTCGCGAACCTTTTAGAAAGTCACTTTTAAAAGTCACGCAATGCAATTTTTCGTAACAGAACGCAATTTATTGGAGCTTTTTGTACTTTTTTTTCTTTTTGGAGATTAAAATTAATTTGGCGTAAATTCTGTTTTATATGAGCAGATAATTTACATACTACGAGCACACAGACTTAGAGATGGGACTAGAACTAACTTGAAGTAGAACAACCAGTACTTCAGTATTGATGCCGCTGTAATATAGATAAGACATTTATTAAAGTTATAATTAGGAGAGAGAGGGGCTTAAGTTGAGTTATAACCTTCCATGTAAGAAACTGAGGGGGAGTGGGGTACTTATCTGCCTGTAGCTTGGTCAAGTAGGTGAGCGCTGATATCAGCGCAGCTTCTTATTCAGCGAAATGAGTTACGAGGAAGGTTATTGATAGTTTCCGTTGCAACTTTATAATAAAGCTCTTAATGGGTCATTTTTCATTACACCACTTGTTTTAAGTTGTGTGAATGCAATGAAAAATATCATGTCAGTCGTAAAGTGTGGCTTCTAATTTTTTTTCTTTTTTTAATCATCCAAGGAAGAGAAGCATTTCCTAACCCATATGGAGAGAGCTGAGAAGGCAAAAGTAAGTTCAGTACGTCCTTTGGTGTAGTGGAAGTGTATTGTGCATTTAAGGGAGGTAACGTAAATTTGAAAACATCAATTGATATAAGGTTCGGAAATACCATATTGTTTAAGACTTACTTATGCCACTGATATTATTATTGTAAAGGGAATAAAGGGAGATACAAAGAATCAACCAAATGAGGACACAGAAATAATCCCATCTGGGGCTCAGATTTTTTTCTGTGTCCTCTTATGGTTGATTCTTATGATCTCCCTTTATTCCCTTTATTTGATTCTGTTTAAGACTTGCACATAAATTAAACTCAGAAGACGCGGAGTTTATTACAAAAAGCACTGCACCATCGTTATTTAACTGTTTGAGCAGGGAGTCACCTTACTTCATTGGAGTGGGGAGGAAAGGGAATGTTGGGGGGGGGGGGCAGGATAATTTTGCCCGCAGAGAGGGTACCTGCTATAACACTTACCAGTGGAAATCAGTGAGGTATGTAGGCTGAGGAAGTTTCGTTTACCTTCTGATTTAATCAAACTTTTCTAACAGGCGTCGAGAGGCCCTCTACACAAGGCTGCTATCAGTGGACAATACGAGATGGTCAAAATACTTATTGAAAGTGGTGAAGATGTAGATCAAAGAGATCAGGTTTTAGTCTACCCCAGTTTATTTAAATCCTCTGTTAAGCCCGACCTTCTGCGTTCGGTTTATTAGCGAACTCTCGTATTCTTTTCTCACCTTGGCTGCGCCAATGCAACAGCCTACGAACAAGCTCTTGCGTTAGTTTTTGCGGTGGTTTCTCGAGGAATTTCGTGCCAGTGGGAAAATAGACCTTTTGCGGGTGGCTAGTCACCTGTTGAAAGGGCTGTGTCAAGACGCCAGAAACACACTAGCGAGAGTCAAGCAAAGAACTCGCATAAGTTAAAATGCCTTCATTAGGTTAATCTTGATTGCCCTGGTGAAGTTGTCCACTGCGTGGTCAAGAACTCTGATGATGGCTTCCTCATAGGTTGCGAAGCATTAGTTACTTTTACCAACATGCTACAGGCGAATCTGCCACATATGCCTTCCATTCTCTGATCAAGCCATTAAAATAAACTCTCTGAATATTAAAAGAGCGTAGCAATTTCAGTTATCTGTGAAAATCTGAGCCCGATACATCAAATAGTTTCGGAGAAATTATCTTACAAAAACTAAAAACTTCCCAAAGATAGTACGGAGTCATTAACGTCTTTGCCACCCAGCAATTTCGCAGTTTTCGGTAGCTGCTCTTTCCCTTCGTATTACTTGCAAGGAGCTGAAAATTGCACAAATTTCTCAAATTAACCAACTCTATCAATTACAGAGTAATGCTGCGCACTAGTCCACTATCCATTTCACAAGTTGAGTAAAATCACTCCATACAGGTTCTTGAAAGGCCACCATTGTTACCGGACTAGCCGGCTTCTTTCAACCTCATCTAACTGTGTTATTTTTTCCTATTTTTGTAGTTTTCTCTGACCCCTCTTCATCTTGCCTGTTGGTATGGACAGGAATCTGTTGTCAAACTGTTGTTGAAACATGGTGCAAACGTCAACGCCAAAGACAGAGTGAGTTGGTGAACGTTTTTACTTTGAGTAATATAGTGCCGTGAGATGGGTGCCACAAGGAAGAAAACGTTTTGTGTTTAATGTTCCATTGCGCAGGCAAATACATTTGCTCTAGTAATTCTATCTCTGGTATCCATAAGTCCCTGCCACCTGTTTCAATTCACCAGAGTTGTTATGTTACCTCCTTAACTCCTACATATTTAAGCTCCTTCTCCATTATGGCTCCTACACCAATTAAGTTAATAAGCCACTTTTCAACTGTCAAAGGGTGTTTGATGAATTTTTGTACACTGGTAACAGAAAATGAATGAGGGGACTACTACCAATTACATGCACTTACCTATCAAGTCATTTAAAGAATTAAAGAGCAACAACAACAACGAAAAAAAGCTTAGTTTTCGCAAGATAACCACTGAGTCGTTTTTTGTTTTTGTTGTCAGGGCTGTCAATAAGGGCCGGTAGCCGACCAAAACCGCCGGCTAGTTAGCCATCCTTAGCCGGCTACTTTCATATCCTTCTACCATAACTGCTAACAAAAAATAAGCACCATCGAATAAAATTGTAAAGCATCCGTTTCCCAGTTTTGAATGACACTGAACGTTATTTACCCAGGTTTAGATCTGTGAAACGTTCGAACCGTGCGATGTCGAGGAACGCGTGGGACATTTCGACGGCATTGTTCCCAGTCTTGCGTGTATTCTGACGAAACAACATGGTGTCTGCGATGGAAAATACCTCTTGAAAACCCCTGGAAATGACACTTCCGAGACTCCAAATTTCAAAATGTGCCTAGATGCCTCGGCCCTCAAGAGTTTGTGGCTTTGGTGAGAGTTCCAATGCCGCCTACTTAATTCATTATCAGCCTACTACTTAAAAACTTTTTGACAGCCCTGGTTGTTGTTTTTTAAGGCTTGCATTAGATCTTGTTATAAAAAACTATTAATTTAGCCCACACTACAACACCTACGTCCAGGACTGAACGCCGATGCCATTTTTTCCATTGCTTGCTCTGTAAGTTTTGTAGTCAGAAGTACGTTCATATATGCTGAGGAGACAGAGGTATACGGTGTGCTGTGGTGAATAGCAGGTGGTAATTAACGCGTATTACTCTGTTATAATGGTTTTAGTTTCAACGTACACCTCTGCAAAAATCTGAACGACAAGAACACCACTCCATAGTGCAGTTGCTTCTGAAGAATGATGCCAAGCCAAGTCTTCATCAACCAGTAAGATATCAGATTGTATGTGCTTCTTGCCAAGCGTTTTCTTTCAGATTGTATGTTCCTATGTCCTTCTTGCCAAATGTTGTCTTTAAGGTGTTACTCCTTACATTTGTTATATTCTTTGTTCATAATTGTGAACTTTACAGTCAGACTTACACATATCGTATGAACTTTTATCCAAGCTTTTATCGCGAACACCTTATATTTGTTCTTATGTACACGAACATTATTTTTAACCATTAATAGCCGACAACAGCAAAGGTCGAGTGTCTGTCCGCTTAATAAAGGTTTTATGGTACATTTTATTTATTGGTTAGTGAATGTCCATGGTTCTGGCGTTGCGTCTTATGCACATGCGGTCTCTGAATGGGTGAATAACATATATTTAGAGTTATTAACAAAATGGTGCTGAAAGACTCGCATTTGTATTTTTAAGAGGCCCACCCTTATATTACTTTTGACGCCATATATTTTAACCATAGCAACCAGCCACCATCACATGTTGTGTTAAATGTGTCCATTTGCAATAAGAATACAGTGAATTCCTGTTAATCTATTATCTGCAAAAGTAAGTGGCAAATGAATTTCCTCTTTATTATTTTCGCTCAAAACATGGTCATTTTCATCATAGGTCTGTCTAAAGAAACTCACAAGAAAAGCTTTCTTGCAAGTGGATGAACAATCTGGATTTAATCTACTCCAGGCGGCTGTCTTTGTAGAAAAATACAACATTGTTTTAGAAGCTAGTGGCCTTCTTGACAACTTTGTCAAAGAGATGGAACTTACAAAAACGGGGGAAAACGCCAACGAATTTGTAGGGAAAACCGCAGTTGACTTCTTGTCACTTAGAAAGAGATCAAACCCATTTCATCCTGCTATTAAAAGGATTTATGAAAAGTTGGCTGAGGACAAGAGCGGACTGACTGAGCTACAGTGGGCTACATGTAATGATGATGTGGAACATGCAGTTGAACTTGTATTAAATGACTGTGTAGATGTTAATGCCCCAGGATCAGACAATGATTGGACAGCTTTGTTGCAGGCGAGTTGTTCATCCTCAAGTCAGTATATTGAGACCCTCATTGATCTTGGGGCTGACGTTAATGCCCAAACAAGAAAAAGAAAAGAAACTCCTCTAATATTAGCAGCTGACTGGCACAACTACCTGGCAGCAATCTTAATTGTAAGGCATGGAGCAAATGTTAATGTTCATATTGGTAATGGGTTCACGCCACTGCACGTTTCAGCCAATAAAGGTCAAGAAAACCTCGTCAGATTGTTGCTTAAACACAACGCAAATGTAAATGTTCAAGATAATGCTGGATGTACACCCTTGCACGATTGTGCCTCAGCGGGGAACGAAAACCTCTGTAGATTGTTGCTTGAACACAACGCCGATGTAAATGTTCAAGATAAAGATGAATATACACCCTTGCACTGGTGTGCCAGAAAGGGTAACGAAAACCTCTGTAGATTGTTACTTGAACGCAACGCGGGTGTAAATATTCAAGATAAAGGTGGATATACACCCTTGCACTGGTGTGCCTTAGCGGGGAACGAAAACCTCTGTAGATTGTTGCTTGAACACAACGCAGATGTAAATATTCAGGATGAAGATGGATATACACCCTTGCACTTGTGTGCCAGCGAGGGTAACGAAAACCTCTGTAGATTGTTACTTGAACACAACGCAGGTGTAAATATTCAGGACGAAGATGGATATACACCTTTGCACTGGTGTGTCGAAAAGGGTAACGAAAACCTCTGTAAATTGTTACTTGAACGCAACGCGGGTGTAAATATTCAAGATAAAGGTGGATATACACCCTTGCACTGGTGTGCCTTAGCGGGGAACGAAAATCTCTGTAGATTGTTGCTTGAACACAACGTCGATGTAAATAATCAAGATAAAGGTGGATATACACCCTTGCACTGGTGTGCCTTAGCGGGGAACGAAAACCTCTGTAGATTGTTGCTTGAACGCAACGCCGATGTAAATGTTCAAGGTAAAGATGAATATACACCCCTGCACTGGTGTGCCAGAAAGGGTAACGAAAACCTCTGTAGATTGTTACTTGAACGCGACGCGGGTGTAAATATTCAAGATAAAGGTGGATATACACCCTTGCACTGGTGTGCCTTAGCGGGGAACGAAAACCTCAGTAGATTGTTGCTTGAACACAACGCAGATGTAAATATTCAGGATGAAGATGGATATACACCCTTGTACTTGTGTGCCAGCGAGGGTAACGAAAACCTCAGTAGATTGTTACTTGAACACAACGCAGGTGTAAATATTCAGGATGAAGATGGATATACACCTTTGCACTGGTGTGTCAAAAAGGGTAACGAAAACCTCTGTAGATTGTTACTTGAACACAACGCGGATGTAAATACTCAAGGTAATCGTGGATATACACCCTTCAACTGGAGTACTAGAGAGGGTAACGAAAACCTCTGTAGATTGTTGCTTGAACACAACGCGAATGTAAATACTCAAGATGAAGATGGATATACACCCTTGCACTGGAGTACTAGAAAGGGTAACGAAAACCTTAGTGGATTGTTACTTGAACACAACGCCGACGTAAATGCTCAAGATCACCGTGGCTATACACCCGTGCACTGGAGTATCAGAAAGGGTAAAGAAAACCTCTGTAGATTGTTACTTGAACACAACGCGAATGTAAATACTCAAGATGAAGATGGATATACACCCTTGCACTGGTGTGCCTTAACGGGGAACGAAGACCTCTGTAGATTGTTACTTGAACACAACGCGGATGTAAATACTCAAGATGAAGATGGATATGCACCCTTGCACTGGAGTACTAAAAAGGGTAACGAAGACCTGTGTAGATTGTTACTTGAACACAACGCGGATGTAAATAATCAAGATGAAGATGGATATGCACCCTTACACTGGTGTGCCTTAATGGGGAACGAAATCCTCTGTAGATTATTCGTTGGACACAACGCGGATGTAAATATTCAAGATAAATGGGGATATACACCCTTGGACTGGAGTATTGGAAAGGGTCACAAAGAGCTCTGCAGATTGTTACTGGAACACAGCGCGGATGTAAATATTCAAGGTAAGGGTGCACCTTTCAGCTTTTAACGGCAATTTCAGTAAGATAATCGATCTCCTGGTGAAGTGTGAAGTGCAAGATATCAACATCTGTGATGCACAAGGCAGGACCTCTCTTCAAATGCTAGTGAGATGTGGTAATGCATCAGCTGAAAAAAGCTTGTTTATCTAGGAGGTGATGTTAGTGTGGTAAAAGCAGATAGTAACGGTGCCATTGGACTGGAACGTTAAAAATGAACCGGAGAGGATGGAGGAATATCTTAAGTTTAAAAAGGGTTATGCGCAAGAAGCCTTTGTTCCGGGTGCAGAACATCTCAATGAAAAGAAAATACTGAGGGAAACCCTTCGTATACAACAAAGGAAAGAGAGCGTGAACCGGAAGCTGAATAAGTGAAGACACTAGCAGTGAGCCACCCCAAATCAAAGGCGACCTCATACTCAAGAACTAAAAAATGAGTCATGGCTTAATTTAGCCTTTTTTTGTTTTGCGCTTTTGTTTGCAGAATAGTGTTTTTGAAAAGGGCCAAGCTGTTTTACCTCTTTTCCAACTATCCAACCTCATGAAGTTTGCAGGAAGCTTATGGCACTTCATCCTTTCAAAGACCAGGGACCTGACAAGGTGCCTGTCGTATCCTGAGAGAATTCGCCTATGAATTAGTGGAACCTGTCACCATAATTTTGAATGCATCCCTTGCTTCTGGAATTGTTCCTGCTTTTCGAAAAGATACAAACATGAGACACTGTCAGCTCCTGGGCTTCGATGGATCTGATGAAGGTAAAGCCTAAAAGATGTAAAGCGCCATGGATGTTTCTTTAAGGAGAACCTTCAGCTACCCCCTTTACTAATTGATGGTCAAGTACTCGAAAAAATCGCTAGACTTGAAGATAGGCGTAATGAACTATGTATGAGGACTTTTGATAAAATTTCAAAAGACGGGCCCTTGTTAAAACGTCTAACCGCGAATAGGGCTATCGCTCATGACTATACTCTTGGACGTTTTTCAAATGTAGAACTGAGCGTTTTAGGCGAAGTCTCTTCCCTACTACTATCCTTATGGAAAACGCAAGATCTTTTAAAAGTTAATGCATTTTTAATCTACGATTTGCACTTAGATAAGTAAAATTTTAGTGACTGTGATTGAACCATATTGTAAACCCCAGTCTCAATAAGGTTTTTGTAATTTTTCTGTATATTTTAAACACACTGTAATTCATTTTTAATGCAGAATGTGGTGATTGAACATCTTTATTATTATTATGATTACTATTATTATTATAATTATTATAATTAAATTAATAATTATAAGAATAATAATAATTATTATTATTATTGTTATTATTATTATTATTATTATTATTATTATTATCATCATCATCATTATTACCGGGCTGCCTCAAGGCACGCCCAGTCAGAAATCCTCTTCCGTTCGGTCGTCTCCGTAATATTCGGGCATGTTTAAAGATGAATATTAGCTAAGTCATGAGCACGTTATAAAAGGAAAAATATAAAAGCGTTAAAACAAAGCTTTCTCGATATAAATTGAAATGCACACATTCGCGAGTGTGACAGACTTCCGTTTTTTGAATAAAGTTGTGTTAGAACAAACTGAGATTGCAAATGCTATCATCTCCCAGCAGAATGGGCACATTTATGTTGTATGCTTTCAAACTGGCATTGTTCAAGCAGATTTGAGTGGTCCCCCCTCTGAATCCTTCCAAAATTTTAAGTGATCCCCTCCTTTTGGACTCTCAGTTACGACTGATCCCCCCTCTGTTCTCCTAAAAATCAAGTGATCCCCCCCCAAATCCTAACCCTAACCCCCACCAGGTGATAAATAATGACCGGTCCCTTAATTGGCAAAATCAATATTGTCAAGACACTTTGAAAACTTTGAAATCATGAAACGGTTATTAAGGGTTCCTTAGATACTTTGGATAAAACGTATCGCTGAATCAAGTAATGGCCGTATTTATACTAGAGGTTATTTAAGACGTCTTAGACGTCTAGTATAAATACGGAAAATAAGGCAGACGCATTAAACTTCAGACGAATAAAACGTCTGAAGATAAGTGCGTCCGATCGACGCACTTAACAGATGAATTAGTCGCCTCAGACGTTTAAGACGTCTAGTATAAAAACGGGACGCACTTAACAGTCAGTCGTTTAATGCGTCTGTACGTCTAAGACGTCTTCTAGTATAGATACGGCCAATGCATCGTGGAAAATAATTAATCCCAAATCAAGTTCTCAGCAAATACGGAGGGCTAGAGTTCCTCATCGAAAGCGATTACGATCCTAAGCTACTCAACTTAAAGAACCTCCCGGAGTTTTACCACGCCCTTTTAAGTCACTCGCATAACTTTAGGAGACTATAGCTATCCTGTGACAAGCAAATTTCCATAAAAAAAAAACAACGACAACAACAACAACTAAACTGGAACAACCGCAAAATATATATGTATCGATTGAAACCGATTTACTTGAAATCCTGGTGTAAAAATGGGATTCGTTCCATCGAAGACCTTTTAAATGTTAACCTCCTAAAGAAGAAATTCCTAACATCTATACGCTCCCGTTCAAAATCTTGAAAGAACCGAAACTGATCATGTTCGAGGTCAAAATGATTCAAAATGTTTTACCTACCCAGTCTAGTCTCTTCCGCGCGCGCGTAACTGATACGTATACTGATGTTTGTCCTTTATGTAACGTTGAAAGTCAATCTGTAAAACATATGTTAATATAATTACCTGCAGCAGTGTATCCTCTTAGTTTTGGACTTGTTTTTCTAACTGGTGACAAGAAAAAATTAATAAAAAACTGACTTTATCTGAAAGCACTATTTTATACGGTTGGCAAAAACAATCAAATAAGAAAAGGAAAGCAGTCTACTAACACTACACTGCATCTCTTTTTTTGTTGTTGTCATACAGGTGAACTTTCTTTTTTTTGCGGGGCCGGGGGGCCAGGGGATCTTTTCTTTTGGGATGGAACTTCAGGGTCTTTCCCAAATAATGAAAGAGGGAAATTTTGCAAGTGCGACGAGTATCGCGGCAGGAATTTGGTTTTCGTATTCAGATCACGTTGAGTATAGCTGGGGCTATAGATATCAAGGCACGATAAACACCTTTTTCAAAACATGTTAGTATAACTGCCCTGGCGCCCGTTGTTCAAACGTTGGATAGCGCTATCCACGGGATAAAAATCTATCCACTGGATAACGCAATTGGTTTCCCAAGTACTTATCCGCTGGATAGGGATTTATCCGGTGGATAGCGCTATCCAACGTTTGAACAACCGGGGCCTGATCTTTTTTAGTTGCCCAGCTATTCAATTTTATCCTACGTGTTTCGGGTGACTAACGTCTAACGTCTCAAACTTCATCAGGGACTTCTACTACAAGACTAAGTATGTCTGTATATACTTGAACCTCAAACAAACTGTAGGCCCCGAAACCTTTTCCCACGCATAAAGTATATCTAGCCTGCATTGCAGCCGGACTTCTCACTCAAGGCCTAGATATATGGAACTTAGACTCTCTGCGACCCAGGCTAAGTATTTCGCGCCTTGCAAAAAAATTCCCCGCACGCATCACCACGAAATTTGTGGTTCTTAAAAAAGGCCTGGGGGTGTTTGTATGAAAGTAAAATTTGGTGTGTTTTGGGTATATATATATATATATATATATATATATATATATATATATATATATATATATATAGATAAAAGATGAACTTCTGGAGTCGGACTAGTTCAAAAACATTTAATCGCTACTCGGAGTTTCATGCCTCTAGAGAAGCAATCAACAGGCGACTGACAACATTAGCGGTCACATGTAAAGATATACATGTTTTTGAACTAGTCCGACTCCAGAAGTTCATCTTTTATCTATTTACAGCTCTGGTGTTACCATTGAGCACTCTTATAGCAGATGAAGTCTTCATTTTATCTACTTATAGTTATATATATATATATATATATTTATTATATACGTACTGAGAAATACTCACCAAAAAGCTATGTTGTAAATTTTCGTACGCAAACTAGTTCTAGCCAATCAGAGGAGCGAACGATGGTTTTCACACGTGAAAAAATTGATACGTCCAATCAGAATCGCGAACGATGTTTTTTCACGTGTGAGAAAAATGATACGTCCAATCAGAGGCCACAGAGGTGTGTGAGTTTCGCGCCAAAATTCCCGCCTTTTATTGCAGCTTGCAGCGCTGCTTCGCACACATTCAACGAGAAAAGTTTTACTCAAAGAGTTTTTCTCGCTAAGAAAGTGAAAAACATTTCGGAAATGGAGTGGAATTGTTTCGTTTGTTTCACTGTCGATAAACAAAATGGTAAAGAGCCGGCGAAACAACAGCGGAAAGGGATAAACAGAACGAGACGTAAGCTTTTGTTGTGCCTTTTGTCGGAGCTACGTTCAGTTTGCTCGAATAAAATCATTCGCAACTCGTTGTGGTCTTTGTGTTGATTTCACCGCGCAATTGATAGTTGTTAACATTATTTTGTAATATCTCAGTACATATATAATAAACAAATTACCTCATGGTTGGTTCGCTTGTACGATTTTTATTCACTCGTTGTGAAGAATCGAAAACTCACTCGTTCGCTGCGCTCACTCGTTCGTTTTCGATTCTTCACAACTCGTGAATAAAAATCGTACGCACTCACCAACCATGAGGTAATATATATATATATATATATATATATA